AGTAGTAGTAGCAGTAGTAATGGTAGTGGTAGTGGTAGTGGTAGTGGTAGTGGCAGTGGTAGTGGTAGGCGTGCGTGCACGCACACACACACATGTGCACACACGCAGACACATGTACACACTCTCTCTCAGTCTCACTCTCTCTTTTTGCTTGTTTCCTGGTTTTCTCTGTGCCCTTTACTGCAGCCTGCGGCCAGATCTCCGAATCCTCTTCGGCGCAGAGCCGGGCCCTAGCCGCGAGGCTCTGCGCAGCGAAAAACCTTGATGGTTCAGGCTTCCGGAAGCTGTTCCTACGGGTTACTAGGGTCTTACAAGGTCGTAAGATTGTTTGGGTTTGCTGGTTTGCCAGTTCTTTTTCTTGCGTTGACAATTTTGGGTTGTCGGTTTCAGTGTTGAAGGCTCCGGGTAACAGACAAGAAAAAAATAAAAGCATGGCTTGAGGTTTTATGTGTGCAGTGGGTGTAGGTACGTGGAGTGTAGGGGAGATGCGCATGGACAGTCTCTAGAAAGCCTGTTGTTTGTCCTCGCCCTTGCCCTTCCAGCATGGTTCGAGAACTCCAAGGCATGAGCCGCCACTTGGTCATAGCAATAGGAATAAACCGCAGTAATGATTACTCAGCTGCGGACCATTGCGGACCCCCATAAGCTGGGCACACCGTCTGACCGCTTGATTGAAGTGGCGATGGCATCCACTTCCCACTGCTTCGCCACCTTGGCGTGCTGCGCAAACAGCTCACGGAGCGAACCACTGCGTCGCTGTTGACAGGCTCCCTGCAATAAAGCACCCGCCGCATGATTCCAGGCCTGCCGCTTGTCTGCTGGCATGCCAACCCACAGTACCCAGTGATGCGGTTTGATGAAGTGAGAGGGAACCCAGCGGAGGTCCCACAATCGCAGCCATGGAGAGCAGCCACTGACGAAGCGAGGGGATTTTCGCAACAAGGCCTAGGTACCCGCAGCCACCATGCAGGATGGAGATGATGGCCGCCTCGAGGTCAATCAGGATATGCACTGCCGAGGCATTCTTAGGCTTGTCTGCTGCCATCGAACTTGAAAAAATCCGCGCCACTCAGTTCGGCTTTGAAGCTGCTCTGGTGTCAAAGCCCATAATGATCCTGTGTGTGCTCGCGAGCAAAGGTCAAACGTGCCCGGCTGGGGGCGGCCCGCCCGCACAGGCAACTGACTTGGCTCACTGCAGATTAAATTGAATGCCGGCGTGCCGGCACGATCCTCAAGATGCGAGGGCTGCTCGGAGGGGCCCAGCCAACCAGACCTGTCGGTGGCCTTCGGTTTTACAAGAAGTGCCCTGAGCAGGACCTGGCAAGTCCATGCATCGAGCTATAAGCCCTCCCCATCTCTGTGAAGGCACCGCTTGGTCGTTCTACCATGATGCAAAGTCACGTCGTGGTGGTGTAGCAACAGCCACTCTACGCTAAGACCATCGAGCCCCATCCGTGCAGCCTGTGACGATGATGTTGTCCTTGCCTTTCTCGCCCACGATCTCGGTGGTCTCCAGCTCATTGGCAGCTGCCTTAGAGACCCCGCCCAATGTTGGCAGGACGCGCATCTCGAAAGTCCTGGTTGGGTCTTGTCCATCAAAGTACATGAGGAGGCTCTCTGTCCCAGTACGGTGGGCCTTGATCTTCGCCCTCAGCAGTCTCTCCCGGCGCAGGCATAGCATCCGGGTCCATCTGTAGCACGCGATCACGAAAAGCTGGCAAGCTGGCTCTGTGTGCTCTGGGTGCTCGGCTCCAATGGCCGGCAACATCTGGGGGGGGGGGCCCAGTCTGCGGGACAGCAGCTAGAGTCTGGAATCAAGTGACAGTTCGTCTGTTCACATCCTAGTAGTGTCGACGATGATGATCACACAAATAAGTATTTCGTGGAGTACAGCAGTAATAAGAAGTGTATTTCTGCTCGCATATAGGAGCATAGTCTCTGGCCGAGCCGCGCGGCGAAGGCTTCCCCAGATCTTTGGGCTGCTCGGAGCAGCGCCACGCTGAGGCTCAAGGCATGCCCTGCCGAGATCACTGCAAGCCAGGGCTGCAAGCTTAGCTGACAGAGCTTCGGGACTAAGGGCTTCGGGCTTAGCTGACGGTGTTCATAGGGCCCCAATATCGGGATTAACGGGTCAAAGAAGAACAAATAAACCAGGAAGGGGAGGAACCGAACCGCGAGCCGAGGAACCGGGTCGAGCTGCGGGGGGTTTCCTGGATTTGGGTCTGGGGCCTGCAAAGAGGGCGCAATTGAGGCCCAAGGCCCAATTGAAGACTCGCCGTTGGGGGTTAGAGGCTTGGGTTCACAAGAAATCAGGCTGTTTCGGGATTAGTGGTCCTCAGCCGACAAGGGAAATGAGCCGAACAACGTTCTGTTTAGTACCTTTTTTGATGTTTTGGCCTCTCAAGCTCAAACACCGTACCTTTTCCGGGCTGGGACGGTTGGGAAACCTACCGCTCGTAGAACCAGCGGTAGGCTCGGGCTGCACTCGCCCCATTTCCTCCCTCTATCTCACTCTGCCAGGCTAAAGAACGTACAATGCCGTGGATCCGAAGGCGTAGATTGCAAAAACGAGAGACGGGACTGTCGACTGTGCAACTAATTATCAAGAATCAACTCGCATCCAACGAAGGTCTAGTTGCGACTTCGCTGGAATTGGGACAGCCGCGCCGAGGCATCTTTGACCTGCACCATGACATCTTTGTCATGCAGGACGAGGAGGGGAGTCCAGCCTTTGCAGCTACTGAGTTACTGGTAGAAGCTATTACTTGCCACTTCAGCTGCTAAGCTGTGGTCATCTATCGATGCTCCACAATGAAAATTGGAGGACTGCCATAGATCCACCGTCAACCGTTCCCAGCCCCGTCCCCCCGCCAGCCTCTTGAGGGCTGCCGCGCTGCAGCAGCGAAACCTCCCAGGGCGGCTGGAATTTCTCATGCATGCTTTGACCTAGGACCTAAGACAGAAACACTCTTTGGGGCAAAGCAAGTCGCACTTACTCTTACTCAGCCTTGAAAAGCGCTCCACCTCACATAATACGGATACCGCCCCGTCGCATGTTTGAAACCACGACCTGGCGCCCCAGCTCTTCCAGGGGTGACGCCATGGCCGCTCTACGTGCTTCCGCGACGACATGGCTAGAGGCGAAATGCCAAGTATGGATCTTCTTGTGCTTTGGAAAGTGTCATTGGGCTTTATGGTGGAGAGGCTGGTATGAATCCACGAGCTCTTTCGGCCTGCCAGGACTTGCCGGAGCAAGTCATAACATCAATTTCAACACCGTTCTGATTCTGTGGCCGTGCAGTCTTTGCTCAGCCTTGGAAACATGTTCAAGAACCACAACATGAATGTGGCGACACCTCTGCCTTGACACCGCAGCCGCCAGTTCTTCGAGGCGGAGAAATATTGCGATACTTATCCATACTCAAAGGCATACGCTCAATGCCGAGTTGGAATGATATCATAGGAACATACATGCTGTACACAAGGTAGCCATGACAATCACCGTTTCATCAATATATCTGTCACTGCATCTGCGCTATCACACGACCATGATTGTTCGAAGCCCTTCCAGGCGAGCCTCATCCATGTCCACGAGATTGCGATCCAAGAAGACCTAGCTTAACCTGGGCGATATGGACCACAAAAGACAGTGGACCTGTTCTTCTGACTTGGCTGCGAGAGTGCTTGTTTGGCTCGTTTGCTCTGAGCCTACCAACAGCTACCAACTAAAGCCCAACTCGGCAACGAAGCCATGTGTGCTCACCGTGTGAATGCATAGTACCCACCCCAAGTCTGAACAGCAGGTGCATTAATCAATGCTAATCGTGCCAAAACAACTTGAATAAAATGGCAGTGCTGCTCAAAAGCAGAATGCGCAAAGCATGGGTTGCGGGCTTGTACTGCACTGTTTCAGCCGCTCTTTACAGAAAAAATCAATCGTGACAACTGCAGCCCCCCCCCGCCCCGGCTCCTTTTGCATCTGCTTCCACATCCGGAACAGTTCAAGGGCGACTCCGAGGTGCAGTGTCAACACCGCCCAGCATCGCAAGACCTGGGACAGCTCTCGTCAGCAGGCTAGTCTTCTTCGTCCGAGTCATCGCTATCGTCTTCCTGCTCAGTCTCCTTGGTGAAGACCATAGCTCCCTTTTTCGATCTTTTCATGCTTTCGCATCCTTGGTCTGGCTTCAGGCAACTTCTTCCTCACAAAAGAAGGCTGACACGATATTTTTTCTCGATGTACAACCATGAAAGACGAGCATCTTTTGCTGTGGAAGCAGACCTGCGTTACTCGCTTGTTGCCCTCGGGGAAGTAGGTGAAGGCAGCGCAGGCATCCCCGGCCTTCTGACACAACTCAGCACAAAGTTCCATGCTTTGCGCCATGACCAGCTCTTTTTTCTTGCAAACTCGGTTGGGATGATAATGCAATGCGCGGAGGCCCGGGTGGAACATGGCACTGACCATCTTGTCCTGTTTCTGGCTCATAATGTGTGCGTTGAAGTGAAGGTAGTTGTCGAGCACAAACTGACTGTTGTCAAAGGAAATTTTCGAAGCGAAAACCTCGGCACCCGCAAGCTGGTGAGCGACGAAGAGGAGCATGTTCTTGTCTGCCACCGGCTTGCCATTCAGGCATGCATCCAAGAAGACGGTGGAACGCGTTCTTTCTGTACCGTCAACGATGAGGTGAGGGTAGAGAGCATCGAGCAACTCCCGCGTCACAGGTTCGTCTACCCGCAGCTCGGGCATCACCGTGTCACTCTCAGTGTCCGCACCTCCCCACCTTAGAATTGGATTTGCAACGCAGAAATCGAAGCACAACAATATCCCCACCGCCCACCGCCTTCAAACAGCTGCAGGCTTTATTCGACATCAAATCATTCAGATAAACGTCAAGCCACGCCAATGAGCGTGGGTCGCCATGACCACCGAGGACGACATGCTTAAGCCTTGCAGGGCTCTGGGTCCGGTCGGGACAAAACGTGAGATGTGAAGATGTAAGTTTGCAACATTAGCTTCACATTCGTTGCGTGGAGCTGAGGATAAGAATACGGACATGAAAGCAGGCCAGCACAAGGACTGAATCGGGAGTCTGTGTAGATGACGCACCCCCCTCTATTCTCACCCTCCATCCACCACGAGCCTCACATTGCTGGGCATCCCTTTTACGAAGGCAATCGCTTCTTGCACCGATGCCACGCGCACAAAATGCACGGAGTAGTGATGAGCCATGTTCACGAGGCGGTAGCACACACTGGGGTCGATTGTACCCGAGGAGCATAGTGAGAAGGCGTTGTTGTGATCCTCCTCTTCAGCGGAAAAGATTATGGTGACTCCCTGGCACCTTTGCGGAAAAAGGAATCTAGAATCTAGGATGTGGATGTCGCTGATGTCACGACAAATCAGACTGTCCTTGGGGTATATGTACAACACGTCGGCAGCGCCATCTGGATTTACGTACTCAAGCTCGTTCTGGTCTTGGCACCGACCCTTCATGCTGAAAGTACTTTTCATTCTCTGATTGTCGAAACCTAGGCTGCAGATGCTGCAGTCGTTCAGCGTCCTGCAAGGCTTCTCTTCGCCCTGTCTCGGACGTGCAGAGAAGCCTGCAACACGAAAAAAACAAACAACAACAAGCACAAAAACAGATCACACCCAGAAGCTGTCACACGTGGAGCCCCGGGCGGAAAGCTCGAATTGCATCGTGTCAAAAGCCTCCCCACGTTGCCTGAGATATGCTACGCAGCTACACAAAGCTTCCTCTGTTGCTGCATCATAGACATTATTGCAGCCAAGTTGCTGTGTGCTTCTCACTGCCAAACAGCTCGGTGCTGTTGCAGCCACTAGCAATGCTAGATAGCCGCGGAGCCTGGCTCGTTTGTCCCTCATCTAGCATGGCGCTTGAAATGTATTCGAGTGTTGCAGCAACTGTATGCCCTAGCTGTTTCTGCAAATGAGCAGAACTGCTCCAATAATTGCACTGAAAGGAGCATTGCGAGCAGCAGCCGGGGCGAGTGTCAGCTGGCACGTCCGTGTGGAAGTGAAAGAACGAATATCGCAGGCAACTTCTGGAAAGGTACCGATGGTTGGAGCCCAATTGAGACTGGTGCGAATCAGTGCTCTTGCGACAGAGTCCTGCCCCTAAACGATTGCAAAGAGACGCCAATCCAAGGGAAGATACTACTCTCGAGCTTGACCGGCCCTCAATCCTAGGTGATTTCCTCAACGAGCTTTTGCTGCGGCGATGTCGTCCTGGAATAGTGTGAGACTGTCCGCTTCTCGATCGTGTTGCGACTGAGAGCAAACACGAACACATCAAGAACAAACTGCTACAAACTCTTCGCATACCATGGCTCAGTTTGGACTTCGGTGGTGCCCTTAGGATCTTGAACCACAGCCGCTTTCCGGGGTGCGGCTCCGCCCCTGCCATCAGGGCCAAGCGCACCAATGACGATCCACAAGAGTTCAATACTACTGTATGCAGAGGTTGAGCTCTGTAGTTCCTTGCAGTGTCGGCGATGTTTGCTGGATGCTCAAAACAGGGGCACAAGGCAAGGAGGCGAGGATGGGGCACAGAGCCTCTCAGTCAGGTCGCCGCAAGGCCAGTCTCACTTCAGGGCTCCTGCAAGGACTATCTGACGTGAGTCTGCGGGCTTTAGCGGTAGCGGGACCGGCGCACTGCCTGGGCAGCAGCGCCGCGCCCGGCAAGCCCTCGAATCGCTCCTGGCTGCTTATTCGGGATTCCCGGTCAAGCAGCATCAACATGGCATGAAACTGAGACATTCGGCAAACACTATAAAAGGCAATGAACCTCTGCTCACGGGTCCTCCTTCCACTCGGACAGCTGCCGCTCACAGCTCCGTCGCTGTTCAGCGGTCAGGCGGCGTCGATCCTGCGAGTCTCAAGTCTGAGGGTTGAGAACGGTTCGAGTCTAGTCCCTTCCCTGTTTCCTTGTGCTTCTGCCGTGGGAAGACTTTCTTGTATCATGAGCAGTGCTGCTGGCAATTTGGAGGTGACCAAAGTTCGCCAACTTGAGGCCAGGGCAAAGGACCCTGGGGTCGGGTTGCTCTCGAAGCCCTCAAGGTCAATACGGAAGAACCGCACATTTGCCCTGCGAGCACCTCCTCATCTCCCCGTAGAGCCTGTGCAGCCAGAGGTTGGCATCAAAGTCTGTCGCATCCCCGTCTAACAAGTGTACCGGAGGCTGCTCTTAGCCTTGGGCTTCCAAAGAAACAAAACAGGTCCGCAAAGCATCGCCTCCAACAAGTCCTCCAGCTCGTCGTAATTCTTCAGCATCAAGGGATGATGGACACAGGTCCTTAGCCAGAAGCACATTTAGCAACGTTCTTATGAATCGCTCATGTGCCATCATCAAAAGAGAAGCACAGAGCGTGTACGGATGGCGAAGATTGTCATTATGCAATACTGTGCATGCACGTGCTGACACCCCGCCTCTCATGAACTTGCTAATGCCTTGGTTGATCGTGCTGTTTGGGACTGCTTTGGACTTTGTTGCTTGCCTGTTGTGTCTTCTCGGCCTATAGCCTAGCCCTCGAGTATTGGCGGGTCGACAAGGGCAACGTCTGTGCATGCTGAACCGTGTTGGTCTGCGTCGTATCCGGACCTTGGAGGTGCTCTGTCACAGCCCCTTGTTAAGGCCTACACTTTTGTAGCGGCAAGCCTAGCTCCACACCCTGGGGTGGAAACTTCGGGACCTTGCGTCTTTGCGCAGGCACTGCTAGAAGACTTTCACGCTCCTGCACCTGCGCGCCTCCTCCTCATACGCCTGTTGCTACTCCTGCTGCTTCTATTCCGACGACGACTACTGCGTGCTACGCTGGTATTGCTATGCGCTCTCAGTTCCAGGAGTTCCGGGAATTTGAAGCGCTCGTCAATATCCAAGTGCGAGAGCCAATGAGAAGAAGGCCCCCTGACTTTTCTGAAGGCTCTACACGAATCAGGACCAGCATCGAGAAGAGCTGAGGCCAGGAGCCATAGTAGTCCTTCACCGGTCTGTCTGAGCTCTTGGGCACACGAGGACTCAACGCCTTCGCCTCAAGGCTGCCCGATGCGGTTTAGGATGCTCTGCGGGGCCCGGTCTGGCGGCTTCCGGGATCAAGGATTCCTCTTGTCTTCATTCTGACAATAGCTGTACGGCAAATCTCAATCGGACTGTTCGGACTAGACCTTGGCCAGTAGTGACCCAGAAAGTCTCGACCGGCCAGAGCCAGGTCTCGTACGGTACTGTAGTACGTTAGTAAAATCCAATAGCACTTCTCTGCAGGACGCCGGAGGTCCTTGTGCTTCTTCAGCACGATTGCCAAGGCGTGGCCTGCACTTGATCCCCCTCCGAGAAAGCACGCTTTTTAGACTCGATTTGGCGGTTTCTGTGCACGCAATCGCGCAGTCACCACAGCATCGCCACCGGCGCGAGCACCATCGCAACACCACACAGCCACCCACCGCCATCCCCTCACTGCCACCAAAAATGCTTGCATATACCATGATTGGTGGTAGTGCGTGCAAGCCCAGCCATTCGTGTACACTCCCGAGTTCTCTTGCTTCTTGAACTCTGAGTCAAGAGCTGTCGCAACCTCCAGAAATCTCTTCCGTCTTGGTCCTACGTTTTGCCTGTCTACTGGTAGCATGCCGGAACGAACAAGACAGCCTGGGGCACTGGGGTTGCGCTGCCGGTTTCGGAAGCTGTCGCAGGTCGTCAGCGCCCAGGTAGTCCTAAGCTGCGCTGAAGTGCCAATGGCAGGTGAGGAAGGGCCGCATCCTTGGGTCTGGGAGGCAGAGTATCGCTCCTGAGCTCCAGACGACTTCGGAATGCACCTTCCCGAAAGGCCTAAGTTCGGGTTTGAAGCAAGATAAGAGCTCTCAAAGCTGCCCTGCTACCCTCGGCCCTCCCACAGCAATCGATGCCTGCCCAAAGAATTGGATTCTGCTCGTCACCCTGCAGGAATATGTTGATGCGATCCTTGGATTGTAGGACTTGCCGCGTCACTTTCGGGCACAAAAACTCAGGTTCGGCTGGCAGTGTAGTAGACTGCGGCTGGGCTTTGCGCCGGGCATCTGCATCTTGGAGAAACAATCCACACAAGTGCGAATTGGAAGCCATACAGACCACCAAGTTCAAGGCCAAGAGAACGATAAAGCAGCCAACTTCCACAAACATTCCCAATTCCCACCCACAGCGACCAGAAGGTCTTTGCCGAAGCTTGTGCCAGGCAACATCCAGGATATCTGCAGCAAAGAGCTCTTCCAGCCTCATTCACGCCGTGCTTCAAACTCCAGCGGCAATTGCTCGGTTGCGTTACACGCTTCAATTGTGCCGATGTCCGGCAATGAAACGGGTTCAGTCTGTCGGAGCGGCGGCATGATCTTCTGCACGACGTGGAGTGCCTTGGCTAAGTGAGAGAAGGTCAACGCTGGATCGCACAGAAGACCCTCGTCAGATTCCGGAGCCTTGCATGGGCAAGCGAGACCGAGGTACTTCGGTCTCAAAGTGAATTCGGACTGTGATCGTCTTGCTGTCCTGCAGTCCGACGGGCAGATCAGTTGAGCGGTCCGTCGTAGATTCACCTACATTCGCTCGCGAAAGGCTGAATTCCCTCCCGAAATCTCCCGAGCACAGGAGAACGCAGACCGCAGGCCTGCAATGTGTCGATGCCGATGCAGAGATCATCAGGAGCCTCGGGGTGAAGCTGGCACGGTTCGACTGTGCAACAGACTGGCCCGCATGGTGTGGGACCGGAATCGTGTCAATTCGCTGATATTTGATGCACGCAGCACGCCTAACATGGCCGTGTAGACGCTAGTTGCCTTTAAGGTCAGTGCAGTAGACGTTCGGCCTCACAACTGTATCAGTTGTTCGGGTGAACGGAATCCTGCAAACAGTGATATCGCTTCGAACATTTGCCTCTTGCTGATAACAAGTATCCGCTTCTAGTCGTTCTATGCGTCGGACCAATCTCTCCCGCATACCAACCCCCACGATTCCGCGAACATGGAATTTCAGCTGGGGGAGCGGCAAATAAAAAGCCTGGCTGAGCAGTCCACACTCGGCTTTCGTGGCAAACCATGGGTTTATCTGAGCGTGCTGAGGCTTTGGGCTCCCCTGCGTGGGGGGGCTCATCCCCATCAACCAATCGGAAACCACATCATCGTCTTGAGCACAAGCTTGCAAAGCCAGCCGGCAGCCACCCCTTTCTGAATACACGGATCCTGATCTGCACCACAGAACGAACCATCACCCAACCCACATCCACGGAGTGCCTGGCATGGCACCTTCCTGCAGAGACTCGATTCAGTCACGGGGTGTGCATGCCGCGAGCAAACAACGGATTCGAGATGGTGCCTTTCCAGAGAGTTTCCTAAAAGCTGACCGCTCCCTAGCGATCTGATCAAGACTCTCCTCCGTGGCCCTCGAGCGCTGCAGAGGCCCCTGGGCCAAGGGCACTCTGGCAGCGCGCTTGGTGTCCTGACCAAGGGAAAGTGGGGACCTCCAAGAGACAGAGAGCTTCCCAGAAGTGATGCCTTGCCTGAGCAGCCTCCATGGCTGGTGTCCACGGGTAGCCCGACCTCAGAAACTTGCGAGGGACAGGCCGGGCAAGTGACCCGGGTGCTGCGCTTCGAGCAGCCGTCACTGCGCAATCTCAAGTCGCTACGCATACTCTGGCACTTTTGTTTCTTCAGAGGTGGCAGCCGGGCATCGGGATGTTTCATCTCCTTCTTGTGCCACCTCAGAAGACAGAGGTGCACTTCGGCGACAATGCAATTACGGCTCGATCCCTCGATTTGTCTTTGATGCTCCGGGGATGCTATGAAGCTCCTGGCTCAAACTCCTGTTTTTCGGGGGTGGTTCGCTTCACTAGCTTTGCACATTAAATCGTTGTAGCACCACATGTTGCCAGGAGCCTGGTTGTTGGTGATTGCAATGCCGTTTTTCACTTTTCATTTTTCAACTGTTTGTAATCATGACATCCTTGCGTCCCATGGCTTCGCTCCTGTTGACTCTGTTTATGGTTTTTCAGAAGGGGCAATGTATGCCCAGAAGCAGATCTCGCTCCCCTCTATACAGCCCCACCACGGATATTTGTCTGGACTGTCGCAGTGACAGCAGTCGAGAGGAGGCACCGGCACGCCGATTTCGCTCTGCAGGCTGTATCTCGGAACATGGCCTATACCATACGACTGATACTCCACCGACAATATTTACATCTGGTGGGGGCTCCTGGGAGCAGGAACCGGACGCTACGGCTACCAGTCAACAGTTGCAAGCGGCACTGACGGATGATTATCAGAAGCCCCATCGCGATGTTGACACATTGATGAATCAAGTATTTTCGTACCAAATCAATCCGCCCTTGCAGCGCACGTTGCTTCTGATGTACATTCAAGATCACAGAGACCGTCTTCAGAAACAACAAGACTCAGGACTTTTCAGAAATGAAGCTGCAAGGTGTGATATACATGTTGCTGCGTTGTTGTTCCACATGCACAGGACACACACCTCTGTCAGGAGCTGGCTCATCCAAGGGCTAGAATGTGGCGTACATCTCGCTGGCAAGAACTTCTTGCTCGGAGAAGCAAGCCCCGCGCTCGTAGAGTACGTAGGGTGCACCGCCGCATGTTCTGTAGACTTTTTGCAAAATGTTTGTTTGAGCCCAGTTTCCTGCACACATGGCGCCCAGCTCCATTTGCACGTTGGAGAAGTTTTTGTTGCTCATGCAGCAGTTCGATTCGCAGTACTCTTGGCGAGCATGTGATACATTCCTTTGGCATAACATGCTGGCAGATTTTTGCCGAGACGCTGCCGTATGCTTCAGTGTTCTTTCGATTGCATTGCATGCCACGAGATCCCACTGTACCAGGCCTTCGCCGGGAAATTTTCGTGGGCTGTCCTATATCAGGAATTCATCAGCAACATATTATTCTCAGGCTCTGGCCCTGCACATGGACATCATCCTGGTCTTGCTACAGGACTTATCGCAGGTGCCTCAAATTCTACAGCTCAAGGATGTCAGTCTGTTGTTCAATTCCTGCACATGCTATTCTGATCACGACATGTATTGCATTTTCTGCTCTGGCACGAGGGTTGACAGCTGGATACAGGCAGACCTTATGGCCCTTTATCCTGTTGACTGTATTGGGTTTATGCCTTCTCAGTGTCTGTATGCCGGTACCATATACATTGGATCTTGAAAATTGCTGCTGCATTATTCTTCAGCCTCAGCCATGCCCCTTTGTACGGAACCTGCACCAGTGCAGATCCGTCGCACACTGCAAGTACATCGGGAACTGTATGGAGACGACGAATTTTCCTCCAATGTGGAACCCTCGGCTGGCCCCTGTGGTCCTGCCTCGGAAGCAGTTCCCTTCGTGACTTCTCGGAGACCGAGTACCACTCAATATCCGGAATATTTCGATTCAACTCCACATGTACTTCGGGATGCGACTACATCAGCGAGGAAGCCTGGGAGACCCTTGCCTCGACCCTCGCAGGCGCCACATATCTCCAAGCCTCGAGCTTCCTCTGCAACGCGTGCTGCCAATCGAGGAAGCGGACGACTTCGTATTACACGTGTCAGAAACTCGCGTTTTTGGAAGGGATCCCGACGTGCTCGACGACCGACTCGGGCAGTTTGCCTCGTAGCCACCGAAGTTCAGACGGAACTGTCCCTTTGTCGCCGCTACGGCCTCTGGCACGGGAACGGAGAATTCCTTCTCCTATGGATTGAGCTGGCTCTGATCCCACCTCTTCCGCTTCTGATGTCCCCCAGCGATGCTCTGCGACTCCGGCTCTTACTGATGATTCAGATGCCCTGGACTTTGACAACATGTCAGCTGTTGGCTCTGTACATACAAATGATTTTGATGAGATGCTTCGCTCTGACAGTGATGCTTAACCATCCGTTGTGGTATGTACATATGCTATGCCAGTGGCACCATCTGATCGTGGCATTCTGGTCCTCTGTGCCTGCATTGAAAACAGTGCATATATTCACTGTTCAATGGCTTGTCTCCTTCCCTTGTTGCAGACATATTTATGACAATGCAGGAACCCAGGTCGTATGTCGCTCGTGGAGGCTGGTGCTTTTTGTTCTCCACAGCGGGTCTCAGGCTATTGCTTTGCTGATCCAGGCTTCATATTTATATGCTGGTGGGTATGACTCTTACCTTTGTTCGCTGATGCTGACCCTCAAGTCCTGCTTGGTATCATTGAGGCATCAGGGCTATTTCATGGATGGGTTATTTGCAGTGATTGGTCGGGCGCCTGGTATACTGCACAAGACCGCACAGCTTTCTTGGCCAGCCAGACTTGGTGCAGTTCTTGTCATAGACCTTGTGAGAACGCTTCATATACCAGGACGGATCCTGTCTTTGACATTGATGCTGACAACGCCCTCGCTGCACTTCCACCGCCGGGTGCTCTGGTATTGCCTCTTATTGCTTATTCTCTTGCAAGTTTGCTTGAGCACAGAGCGATTGCTTCGATGTTTGCACATTCTTATTGCTCCGGCGGATCATGAGAGTTGTTGTGGGAGTCTTTCCATCGGTGGATATGAGCAATCCTGTATATTGATCAGAGAGGCAGCACTAAACAGTCACAGTTCTGATATCTTGCTCATTGGACTATTTAGTCTTGTTGTAGCTGCAGCTCTCCGCATGGATCGCTACACCAAAGAGCATCCTGAGCCCAAGAAATCTTGGGACCTTCGCCCGGCACTACCTCGCAGACGGCCGAGGCAGGATGATAAAGAGGCCACAAGGCCCGGGACCCACTGCCACGCCTTCGAGCTCGCATGCCCCTACCCCGTTTGAGGAGCTCCCTGAAGAAAACATCTCTTCATCGTTTGAGGCGGCTGCAAACCAGGATGAAGGAAGCTACGAGCCGGCGGCAGCCATTGCCTCGCCTCAGGTCTGGCCGAACACTGCCCTCGGATGAGGAGATGGATGTGCCGGCAGGCAGCCGGCGCATTGAAATGCGTATCCAAGGAGAAGGAGAATGGATGCAGATGTGGGACATTTCGCCCCTTCCAATTCCTCCTGATCAACCACGAGATGAGGATGACGAGATTGTGGGTGACCCGGACCAGGGCCTACGCGGCCATTTTCCTATGAGGTTTCTTGGCCAGAAACCGGTTGCCCCAAGCCGGAAGTCAAAGGGGAAACGTCTTCGAGCCCTTGGTTATCAGTTGAAGAAGAGAAAGTCTGTTGGAGGGCCAGATGATAACACCACAACTGGCTCTGCCCCTTCAGCAAGCACGAGGCCTAAGCCAAAGAGTGTTCGCAAGCCACCGGCCAAGGCTCGAGGCTCTATCCGGGAGTCTCTGGCGGCGGATGCTGCTGCTAGTGGTCCTGGACCAAAGGCGGCTCCCAACAAGGTGGCCCCCAAGCTTCGGAAAGCTGCCAGCAAGGCTGCGTCAGCCCCCACTGCAACAGGAGTATGACAACTTATACAGGAGCGCCGGCCACTACCTCCTCTGGAAAAGGGGATGCAGAGCAACAGCGTCAGGTTATGAATGCCAGGTGTGCAGAGTTGCTGGAGTCCCAGAGAGCAGCCTTTCGTGGCGTGTTGAGCTTCGTCGGCCAGCTATTTTGGCGGCCTCTGCTAAAGTAGCAAGTGCACCGCCGGTGTCGATGGCTACGGAAGCCACGGTGGCCCCGAAGTGGTCTCTACCACAGGAGATCGGCCGTCTTCTCTGGCGTATATGAAATTGCCTGCAAGGTCGCCTTGGGTATGCGTGTATCTATGTGGCTTTCTCTATTTGCAGCACAATTGCTTTGCGCCAGTGTGCTCTCAGGTCTGGGACGATGGTGGCCAGCAGCTTTTATTTATGATAACAGTCGGGGCCTTGACTGCGTCCCCTCTCTTTCATTTCTTTCAGTGCTGGCAGCTGCATACCTTTGGAACCCCTTTGAGGACACAGGTTTTCGCTCAGCCCTGGTGGTCGGTCCTTATGCAAAGGTCCAAGCCTCGAGACAGCCTTGTTATTGTTCGGATGCAGCTTTTTTGCAGTGCATGTTCTCTCCTTCAGAGACTGTATTCTCCAATCAACATTGTCAATGTTGTTGGCAGATGCACTTATCTTTTGCATTTGTGCGCTAGTTCCTCATATTCTCCTACACAGCCCTCGGGCCCCAAGTCCCGAGCCGACCGGCCATCTGGCTACCACTCTCATCTATCTCTTCTTTTCTCCAGATGGTTACGTTTTCTTATGTTCATCCTTATTCTTTCTCGGGTCGGAGGAGCGAGGGTTGCCTCTGACGCCACAGAGGCAGGATCGCAGGAGCATTTTGCGACTGCGACAAGCGGCGGAAGACTTCTGCCGACGGCTAAGAAAAGAGCATATCACAGAGCCCAACGGAGGGCGCGGGTTGCTGGTGGCACTTTCTACAAATGCAGATGGTGCAAGGCAAGATCCTTGAATGTCAGAGGTGCGATGGGGACGGACTACACCCGGGCACCGAGACCAGGTGGTTTTCACACTTGGCAACGAAACTCGCAGGTTCTTGATCTCAATATTGTTTCCTGGAATTCCAGTGGTCTTGGAGCAGCGGTCTTACCTGAATTTCTCTTGTGGCTTGATCAAATACCCCTGGAGTCGAGACCCAACATTGTGTTGACTCAGGAGTCTCATTGGCGATTCACCTCAGAAGATAGGCATGGAGACTGGCTTGCCTATCACAATGGTGTCTCGGAAGGCTCGGCCGACAGATATGCAGGTTTGTTGACGTTGATTCGTGTTCCAGGTGTGAGTGCTGAACATGTTCGTGTTCATCATGTCCTGCAGGGCCGCCTCACGCATGTCAGGTTTGATTTCCCCAGCAGGAACGTGGATATACTTCACGTCTATCAGCACGCCTCCTCTGCAGATCCTAGCAGAGCAATCCGCGACAAGCGGCGAAGGTTATTCAGCCGTTTGGATGCTGTTATTCAATCGACGATGCCAGGACGCAATCTACTGGTTGTGGGTGGAGATTTCGATCAACCCTTGCCGTATGCTGCACCTCACACTGGAAATTCGGTATGTGTACCATACCCTACCAATCCTGAACATGGACGTGAGGGTAATACGTTATTGCATATTGCAAAGCGTCATGATTTGGTGGCCCTGAATACCTTTCATTGCCGCCCGAGTTTTACCTATCAACACTGTGCTAGCCGTACGCAGATTGATTTATCTTTGTGCGCAGTAGTGATGCCATTGGTCGTGCAAAGAGATCTCGTCCGATGTGTGATTCGTCCCTCATGGCTTGGCGTGAAACCAAACATCCGCTTATTGCAGAATTATCGTTGCCGAAAAACTGGTGGCCTGCCCAAACACGTTCCACTCGCTATGATCGTGTGGCTCTTGTTCAATCTTACAACCGGCAGACTTTACAGTATCAGAATTTTGCTGCTGCAGCCGCCAAGAGCCTTGAGGATTCTGAGCTGCAGTCATATGACGTGATGCGGGACAGACTTATGAACTGTTGTGCTGAGCATTTCCCTGTCATTAAGTCGCGGGTACCACAACCATGGAACCACCCCTCGCTAGCGGGCTCCATTCGACAAATGTGGCTCATTACAAACTTTCGCGTCTTTACCAACGAAGGGAGAGTTTCCACCTCCCTACTTGTTTCGCCCAATGGCATCACACGTGCCATGCACCGCGAAGCCAGGAGGCATGGGCGCTTGATGAAGCGCGAGAGGTATCTTAACCAGATACAACAAGCGGAAGAGGCCGCGGCCTCCCACAACTCATATGTACTTTACCGCATCGTGCGGCGAATAGCACCCAAACAGCGCTTTCAATCTGTACAAATTCGCTCGGATGATGGCTCTATTCAATCTATTCTTTCTCATGACCAACAGCTCCGGCTGATTCGCTCTCACTTTGAAAAGGTTTGGCACCAACCCACGGACTGGAAACGTCCTGGATTGCACAGCCAGCCAACCACCTTGAATAGCACCATCGACCCTCAGGCCTACATACCTGACCCTGCACTACTTCGCTGTTCTGCCAGTAGCATACAGCCATACAAAGCACTGCCACCCACACACCCTGCTGCCCCTGCTTTTCGGGCAGTCTCGGTTTCTTTTGGCAACAAAGTGGCTGCATGTATGGGAGGCGACGGCCGGCCCTGTATGCCCCATTCTTGGAATCTCACTCATGTTGCTCTGATTCCCAAACCAGGTAAAAAGCATGGTGCCATTTCGTCGTTGCGCCCTATTGGTCTGCAAGACCCGGTGGCGCAGGGCTACATCAAAGTGCTGGCTGATGATTTGAAGCCGTATGCAATGCATTACCTGCGAAGAATACCGCAGCATGCTTACTTGGCTCATTGCTCGACCTGTTCGGCAATTATTCAAGTGGCTGACCATTGCCGTAAAGCACGCAAGCTTCTTCGCGCACACACTCACAATTTACATCTGCGCCGTCAAGGCCACACCAAACAAGGTGATTTCTGTGCCTGTTGCAAATATCAGTTGACCTGTCCAAGGCTTTTGACACTGCGCCCTGGGAGTTGATACATGAATCACTGCAGCGTACTGGTGCACCGCGTGCCCTTATTGCCCGGATCATGGATTGGATCAGTGGTACCACTTATGTTCTTGAACACCGAGGTGCCCGTGTTGAAGTTCGAGCCCAACGGGGAGTGAGACAAGGTTGTGTGTTAAGTCCCCTTTCATGGAGTCTCTTTACTGGCCTTATCTATGAGGAGTTCCAGTTTCTCCTTGGTCATGATTCCATCAAACCGGATGTTGCTTTTTTTGCAGATGACAAACACCTGGGCTGGATACTTGATCAACCGGCAAAACTAGTGTGTGCCCTGCAGCAGTTTGGCAGTTTCATACACCTTTTGCGAACTTTTGGACTCAAAGTGAACCCCACCAAAAGCAATGCAATTCTGTCCTTACGTGGCTCTATGTCGCAAAGTTTGCGGAGGATCTGGACCTCAACTTTTCAAGGCGGTGACTGGCTTCGTATTCCTGTTGGTCAGGACAACGAATTTATACCATTGGTTCAACAACTGGACTATCTTGGCATAATGCTGTCTTATGGAAACTTTGAGGAACTGAGCTGGAGACGCAGAATGGGAGTGGCTCGCGCCAGCTTTGATAGAATACGCAAGATTCTATTGGGGCACCATGTCTTGTCGCTGCCGCACAGGATAAAACTGTGGAAAACTATTGTTCTACCTTCGGCATGCTATGGACTGTTAGGCATTGGATGGAGCTCCCAGGGCTTTGCTCGCATGCACGGTATGTGCATGAAGCAGCTGCGACTCATTGCCAGGTCTCCTGTTCATTTAACCTCCGAGACCAATGTCAGCCTGATGCAGAGATTAGGCATGCATGAGCTGGGTGCCCATTTTGAGTCAATGACTACCACAGCCCTGGCCTATCACTTGCAGTTGTCGGATGATTTGAGTTCGGATGATGTCATGTGTCAGCCTGTTTATGTGACATGGTACCAGCAACTGTTGACTGATATACGGACCGGCCGATCGACACCTACCCCTGAATTCTCGATGCGAGATGCCGATGACATTCCTCAGCATACATGTGAGTTTTGTGACCAGGCGTTTTGACACTGTTCGTAGTCTTCGCATTCATCAGAAGAAGTCACGTCGTGATGAGTTGCCGGAGGACTGGAACTGCAGTCAGATCATGCTTGAAACAGTGCGATTGCATGCAGTAGATGGTATGCCCGCATGTGCTTATTGTCTGTTCAAGTTTGCTAATTGGCAGAATTTATATGAGCATTTGCTGCAATCTCGGTGCAAAATTTTGGCTGAACATGCTACGAATGCAGAGCTACCTGGCGCTGGCGTCATTGCGGTGCAAGCTTGGGTGCAGAACTCGGATATTCTCAATGGTATCCGCACCTCCGGGCTTGATGCTTTGCGACGATCCCCCACCTCACCTCAGGAACTTCAACATCATTGCTGCCTGTGCAGGCAGTGGTTTGTGCACCCAGATTATGCTGCCTCGCATTACAATAAAACCCATCGTGCTCTGTGGGAGGCCCTTGGTCCCCGAGTTCGTGCTTTGGTCAGGCCTACTATCCTGAGTTCTGCTTGCCAGTATTGTGGTAAAGTGGCCGTCGCGAAAAGCTAAGCACAGATGTCCAGTCCTTACACAGGCTTATTTTGCTCTTCTTGTGGATGAGCGACGAGCCGGGAATTGCCCCGCCAACGAGAGCCGAGACCAGCTATTTCCTGACCCTCTTCCCTCGACCCTTACAGATGCAGTCGGAGCAAGCCGAGGCCATGGATACCAAGGACCAGCCAAAGCGAGGGACATTCGAGGATACTTCGTCGCGCGAGGAGGGTCCGTCCAAAGCCATGAGGGGGGAGCCTCACAAGGACACGGCACAGGCCAAGGAGCCCACCGGGGGCACGGCCTCGGACTTACAGAGGCAAGCCAAAGTGCCAGTGATGAACCTGGCCACGCCACCATCGACGACGGCATCACCGGCAAGTTCACAGCAACCGCTGCCTCCGAATGCACCCCAGTCTCAACGGTCTGGAAAGGGCAAGGCCAAGAAGGGCAAACAGGGCAAAGGACAGAGCAAAGGTCAGAAAGGGGGCAACGCACCCTCTCAGACTACTTCGGGTTCGATTCATCAGGACAACGTCATCTCAGCGACGGGGCGCCTGTGTTTGCGCCACGAAGACGCGATTGCGGTGCAGCGTGCGCAGCAAGGATACGTCTGGTGGCTGAGGACCACCGGTCCCGAATCGATAGTGCCACCACTGGCACGGGTGTCGGCAGCTTGGAACCTCAAGAAGGAAGAAGAGGGACCGCCGGAGCATCCGCTCAGGATAGTATTGCTGTCCACCCTGATCCATGTGATGATCGAGAGAGCTCAGGCGGCAGTGGACCCCACGCGTTTGGAGGCCTCGGCTCAGGCGGGCCTCATCTTGAATCAGCGGGACGAACCCTTTTGGCCGTTCCTACGCTGGAACCCAGCACGACGAGCCGAAGAAATTCTTTCTGGAGCATTCGAGGTTGATGAGGAAACTCAACCAGATCAGGGACACGATCAATCCAGAGAACATATTGCGTTGTCACGGCTACCACCCCATAGCCGAGTACATGCAGGGGGACACATTCAGACTCGTCCTCGAAGTCGAGACAGTCGGCGAGGAAGCTCAGAATCTTCACTCCTGGTTTCGGAGGATGGTCAACTGCACAGCATGGAAGCTCATAGGCGGACGATTCCGCCGCGAGCGGCTGGGTCGCTCTCCACTAGCCAACCGGCTGGCCGAGCTCTTGGGTTAGAAGGTATTGGACTGGAAGGTGCAGCAGCGGGTTTTCGTCCTTTATCGAGCTATGTGGCCCCAACCATGGTATTATCGGACCCCCACAACTTATGCTATGCCAACTCCGTGGCAATTGCTTTTACCTGGTTGGGGTATGGAGCTCGGAACCTTCAGCTTGCTTGGCCTCAGGCTCATGAGCAGCATGATGCCGTGGAATTCTCCACTCATTTTCTTCACAAGGCTCAACCCCTTGCTTTCAGTGGAGAGTGGCAAGCCAGAGTTGTGCGAGGCGACCATACACATGTGGTGGACTCAGGGTCCTTACTTCTTCCTCTGAAGTTGGATAAGTTGGAACCTACCTTGCAATCATGTCTGGACGGCTGGGAGGGTCAGGCGTACATGCCATGTCGTACTTTGGTCATGCCCTTATTCTGCAGTTGCATCGCTTTGTTCGCACTGACGAAGGTGATATTGCAAAACTGGGCACGTGCATTGCTATTAAACCTCGTCAGACTGTGGCTATCCCGATGTTCAGTAATCCAGGCTCAACTGCCACGGTTATGATCAACTGCAGGGTAGCTTTTGTTGTGTATCATCTTGGTGCTACGCAATATACCGGGCATTATCAAACAGCATTGGCGGTCCCCAGCAGATGTTTGGGTTTTTCGGATGGTTGGAAACTCATGATTTGCAACGACTCCTGCAAACCTCGACTTGCTTCTGCTTCTGACATTCGAGCTATTGAGCGCAACAGTTATCTCGTCGGTCTGTACAGAATTTATGACTCCTGAGGTGCTTCTATCCTCATGCACGGCAGTGACTCAGCCAATGTAAATGACCATGGCCTTTGCAATTACTTAATTACATGCACGGATACTGGTTTGATGGTCTGTTGGTGTTTACTTTCATGATTTCTGGACCTACTATGGCTGGACATTTACAGCTTCTGATGACATCCCAGCACTGTCAAACTCGTATGCCTGCGCTTTTGAGCCGGTGAATGTGTTGCATGTGGCGCGAGCTGCATACTAGGACGACGGTGTTTATGTAGGGGCTCTGTTCTTGACTGGTTCTGCCACATCAACACTTGTCACCTGCAAGGCAGCACCACACTCTTGATGCTTGGTTTATTATGTTAGGGCATTGTCATACCTTCGCATGTGATGCTATCCTTGCTGCTAGCTGCTGATGATCAGACTACCTCTCATCGGCAGCAGTGTGCAATGAACTGTGTGAGCTCCATGATACCTTGATCTTGACTTGTAATGCAAGGTTCTGTAGCTCCTGGCTTTGCTTCACCATGTGTTTTGCCACATGTTTCCCTGTCGCCCTGCATCACAGGGACGCAGGTATCGAGCAAAGTATGGCCCACCATCTGCAGATGATCCTTGTTATATTTTTATGTGGAGTTCATCCTCATCCTTATCCATCCTTATCCGAGCTGTTTTTGCTGATTTGATATTGGGCACATGCCATATGAGCCGTGATGGCTAATGAGGTACTGACTGGTACGCCGGGACGGTTCTGCAAACCTCCGAATCTTGCATAGCTGCTAGGGTCTGTCTTTGGTGTTGTCACGGGGTGTTTATGCTCAGCGTTGCTCACGGTTCTTCTCAAACGAGGTTTGCGGTGGTTCAAGGAGATACAACCTGATTTGTAATCGCTGATTTGTAATGTCTGTCTTGTAGCAGGTGCATGTCCTCTCACTGCTTACTCCTTGTGGAACATGGCTTCACCCCTATCAGCTGTTGTTTGCCTTTGTTGATATGCGCCACTCAACGAGACGGATGGCCACGTAGATGGCACACGTGGGTTCGTCACTCTCCTTTGGACATCTTGTACAGTGAGCCGATCGCATGCCAATGTCATTCTTCGTCAGATTTGTAATGCTGCCATCGCTGCGTGTGCAATGCACAAGCACTTCATGCGTAGGGGCTACTGCCCCTGTCCTGAACACTCAGACTCTGCATTATTGCCATTACCATTATCGTATGATTAGATGATGACAGATTCTAGACAGTCTGAATTTGCAGGACGGATTGCTTTGTCATTTCGACTTGCAGGCTGCACGAGATTTGTCATTGTTTATATTCCTATAGTGCCTATGGTCTTTGGCTTTCTACTTGCTTACACCATGCAACTTGCGTTAGTCCTTGCTTGGGCTTGCGGGCCGGGGGACACCGACGTTGGAGCGTGTGCTTGGTCCCACGGGACGACACGCGGCTCTTTGCTCTTTTCCAGAACTGGAAAACAAAATGTGAGCGACCCTGTTCGCCGTGCAATATGCACGTCCTTACCACTCGCAACGCTTGGACGCCGAGCAGCGAGTCAAAGTCAAAAAGTCGGGGATGCTATGCGCGGTACTTCAACCAGACATTAAGAATTTAGAACATCATCTGCAAGAGACAAAGCAATTGCCAAAGCATCATGTCAGATCCTGTCCGACTAGGCACACGGCACATCAGGCCAGCTTTTGTGAGTGGTCTTTGCCAGCCTCAGAGGGCAAACTCCCCTATGCCCGAATACAAGTGAACGTAGCAAAGCTCGCCAAACGCGACCCTCGAACCGAAACTGTCAGCTGTCACTGCAGCCAAGCCGCTCAACCTCGAGAGTCAGCCTGCCGGGGAGCTTCAAAGCCGTCTTAGCAGAATGAGAGGAGAGACCCAGCTGCAGTCGGGCCACACGCATGAATTGTGGGACGCTCGAGAGGCTCTGAGCTGCTGTGCTCACAAGCGGTACTGTTACCGGCCCCGTCTGTCAGTCTCTGCGGGCAATCTTCTGCGGTCTGTCGGCTGCAGTGGGTGTCTGGCACACCCTGTTTCACATGTTGCTGTAATGCCCGCAATCGAACGCCGACAGACAATTCGAGAGGCAGATGGATCGACCCACACGCTGAGCTTCTTCCTCGTGTAGTAGATCATGGCAAGGCAAGGATTTGACAGGTAGGCTGTGCTCCTAGGTGGTCATAAGGTTCTTTGAAGCAAAATCAGTCCAGTGCATTTCAGGGTAGGGCAGTGCAGGCGATGGCGGGAGGGCTTTAAGGTGAAGGATGGCCCGTCCTCCACAGGAACATACAGACAGGCAGCCGTAACCGCTCGCTCTGACACTCACTCCCTCGCGCAGAGATGCATATTCCAGGGAAGGTATACCGGGGTACTGGCGCAAGTGGCTCTATCAAGCACAAGCTCACATGGCCTTTCGTGGGCCTCGTCCACGCCACAGTTCATCCGTCTTGCGACCTCGCGTCGCAGCCTGTCCGACTTTAACTTGTTCTTGGCTTGGGTGGGATACCCGACGCCAGGTGCCGGTGCGGCACGAGAAATACGAGCGCTGTTACCAGTCGAAGATCAGATCCGCACCTCCACCAGGAGAGATTTTGGCGGATGCTCCCACAAAGCATGCCGCTCATGTCTGCCTTGCGCCAGAGGCACAGAAAGAGTTGCGGTGGTTGCAAGCCCATACAGGGCGAAAGGGTGGCAATCGGGCTGATAATTCGCACTGACTTGCACCAGATCCAAATGGTTCACTGTTGCAGATTGCCATTGCTATCAACACGCCGAGGAGTCGGCCAGCTTCCTTCCCTGCACGTGCACCTCGGAAGGGCTCCGGAAATGTATGGCCGGCTGATGGCTGAGAAGACAGAGCTGCCACGATCCCCAGCCTGCAGCTCGCACGTGGACACTTCCACAAGCACATCCTCCTGGGATACGCCAACTCTTCTGCACGAGGGCTTTCGGCATTTCAGCATGGCAACGACGCGTCCAATCTAATCACCGAAAGCTGCACCGGTCCTCTTTCAGACCAGACTGCGTGATGGGGCAGGACAATGATAATGTCCTTTGATGATCTTTCATGCCGCAAGGCAAGTAATTGTCAGTCGCTGCAGGCTTTGAGATTCGCACTACAGGTAGGAATAAACAAGGAGTAACCCCAGACACCCAAGACCGAACCTCGACCACCTTGAAGCGGTGAGTCAGGTGTTCACCCCAGGACCCTTTCTGACCGAACTCTCTACAATTACATACTGGCATGCGTGCTACAATGTCAGGAAAGCCGGGTGCCGAACCCCATGCTCTGCTGCCACTCGACTGACCTAAGCTCTTTCACATCTGGGCTCCTTCTATCGTGCTGTGCAGGGTTGTGCAAAACCGCAGGTTTTGTTCTCAGATGGCGTCGGTCTAAGACTTCGCAAGGAGCGCGTTCACCCGTGACTTAATCCTGCACTTACTTTGGCCGAACTACAGTACCCTGGTCCTGATCCTGTTTGCTGCCCTGTGCTGCCCAGGCTGCCCCGACTTGCCCTTGCTGGGTGTGGCATCGAAGCGACGAAGCCTGAGCAGATTCAAAAAAAGCTTCCGAGGCCCCTGCTTCTTCCGATAATTTTGCACCGTTCCGCAATTGCCCATCAAGGACAGCAGTATGCCCGTGACACTGTATTTACCTGTGTACTCCCTCCGTTCCTAGTCGCCAAGCTGCCGCGCAGCACAGCGCAGGGGCGCGCCGGCAGCCTGACAAAGGCAATCAGCAAACCGGTCAAATCAGGGTTTCTGTAAGGTGCAGTTACAGTACCCGACCATGCCAGACTGGACACAGATGATCGGTACACAGAGACTGTCCCTCTTCTTTCATATTTATCGACAGTTGCAGGTGCAACGTGAATGCTCGCCGAACATGTAAGGATTCTGGGGGCTACGATCTGGCATGGACTAGCTTCCAACGCAGATAACTCTTGCACGGAAGTCGTCATGGCACAATGAGCTGACAGAGCCAACCTGCCATCGAAACTAGACAGACATAATTTTCATGTGGCCGTGCGAGAGCCTTGGCGATTGAGAGTCTGAGAAATCAAGTGGGGCAAACAGGCGCAGAACTGACAAAGTCGGGTTTGGGCGCGCCTCGAGGTCGTCGATTTTCTGCAGCCAAGTCATCCCCACGGCTTTCGCAGATCAATGCGGCACCGATGCCCGACACAAGGCACGCTGCGATATCTCTTTAGTCTTTGAACTATGTAGACTGTGT